AACGGTACTGGGTTTGAATATTGGGGTGAACATCAACTCTGAAATGCAGTTACATCAGGCTAATAAGTCCTAAATAGGGCGAAACATGCGTCTTGGATTACACTACTAGCTACCATTTATGTTTGCTAATCATTAATTAAACATTAATTTTATCAATTGTATCATATTGAACATACTACCTTCACCGGCAGACGAACATGATTGTAGTAGAAGAAATCCAAATATCATTAATAAGATCATCTTTGAATAGAACAATGTTATCATTGAATGAACGTTCGTTGAATCTCATCATCATCATCATATGCATATATATGTATATCTCGAACATCAATTATTTTGAATATCCTTTACTACATATCTAAACTAACAAACTAAACAAGTACTATATAGAACACTCACTTCATTACCGTAAGTGATTGGTGTACTTAATAATCTCATTGTTTTTCATTGTATGAATATGATTTCAACCTTTTGATGAAAAGTATAAACAAGATTAACTGAACTCTTGTTTCAAGTAGTATGAATCACAAGTGCCTGAAATCATCATTGTAAAACTTTAAAAAAACGTATTACATTCCTTCAATAAACTAATTACATAAGTCAATCATCGTTTACACAATATACTCACTTGAATGATTCTTATCTTTTATGATTGAAACGAAAAGATTAGAATGAAGAAAGATTGGTGAGACCATAATGTATGGATGAGCCAATCAGAAACGTTTAGGAAGTTTCAAGTTCACGGCACCAATTTTAGTACCTGTTACTCACGTACGATCAGTTCACAGTGGATGTTAGCAAAAACGTTATGATTGATCGACTACAACAAATGAGACGATCAAAAAGTTCCTTTATTTGTGATGGTGATAATTAGATGATTAATGGAACTTATGCAGACTACTGTGATGATGTTGCCTATCAATGTAATATATGTTGGAGGAAGAAGTCTGCTAGAATAGGAATTCGGTCCTCGATCAAGATTGGAACTAATGCAAATTACGACAGCTGATGAAAACTAGATAATAAAAGCACAACCATCATTGGATGCTATCGTGTACTACAGTATTGGAGAGCGTACAGATGACTACATGGACTTGTTGATATTCAATGTGTCGTTATGCTCAAATGGCATTTTGAGGACCAAACAACATGAGTACACACTAACAATATTGAAGCTATGTGATTGAGGTTGAAAGAGTTTTCGCAACCTTATCATGGCTTCAGAAGCCGACAATTGTGTAGCCATATAGATGAGTTATTCTACCGTATACATTATGATTTCAGAACCTCTGAACCCCTTTCTAACCCTGAAAAGTTTCTGAACCATGTAAAAGAAACGTATTCACTTTCATTCTTCAGTTTTATATCATAAATGTTTACTTTATACTGTTTTCTGATTTACTAATCTTTCTCAATTTCACAGAAGGTTCGTTCAAAGGTCATCCATAAATTATAGTCTTACCGCTGGTTGTAATACAAATAAAATGCCTTGCAGTTAACTCTTATTCTTAAACCAAAACAAAGCATTCTTTTTTATCTCATTTCTCAACAATACGACTCCGCCTGGAATACCTCCGTGGTTACTGCTGGTGCAATCCCGGATAAAAGAGGAAGGTTGGTCATCGGGTTAACGAATCCATTCCGTAGAAAACTAAATTGATGGAAAAACGTTAACCAAAAAACAATAATTCAAACACAAAGGAAATAATTTAACTTTATGGTCTGAATTAATTACATAATATCCTAGTTACCAATTGTTGCCATAGCATTTCTCATTTATAAATTAGAGTCGATTATTTGTGTACACAGTACTTCGTTTTTTCCTATCATTGATGTTGTTGTTCAGTGTTCATACTATTACTGAATTGGTCTGCTGTGTGGCCTGATCTTTTATTCTTCCTCTTCGTTCGACGTTAGTCAGTAATAGGCCAGCCATCAAGTATAGATTATCAGTCTCCCGCAACCTTGATGCGTATTAGTTGTTTAAGATTGTCTACACATATTGACCGATTGTAGAATATAACGGACATAACAAATGGAAAACCAAATTTTTTGCTTCAACATATGTGACAAATCAGTTATTAGAAGAAGAATGTAATAACGTTGTAAGCGTTAGTTAATAGAATGATAGTTCTTTATTATAGGCAAACTTTGAGTCTGTCATTTTGCACAAAACAACCAATTCATTAATTTTCATGATTGGATTCACGAGTCGAATAAAATGTGCACTGCTGAGGAGTCACACAATAGGACGAAACAGCCGTTTAGTGCTTCCAGCTATTCAGTGGTGGTCTAGCACCAATTGAGACACTTATATATCTCGATGAGTTTATTACGTGTTTAGAACTTGGTGAAAGCCATTGCTCTTACAGTATAACAGTTGTTTATGTGTATCTCAAACGTAAATACTTTATCCATCGAACTATTAGATGATGATATACTTAAAGTTATAGTTATACAATGAACCCTTGTTGACCAGGGTAATTTTAGATTGATTTTCAGGAGAACCAAACACCATCCAGACTTTCACGTGACAACCCAATCAGTACAGCTCAATCCTGGTTAACAGGAGAGCCAGACACCGTAAAGGTATTAAAAGTGCAATCTGAATAGTACAATTCAATCCTGTGGCGCAACCACACAGGTACCCAACACCCTGGTGGATCATTCTCACCATCCATATACATATTCACGTCACATGTATAATTATTCCGACCAATGATCGCGTGAATCAATTATGCACAGCACGAACAAATCAAAGTTGACCTATCCCGCTTACACGACAATCAAACTCATTAATGTTAGTAATGGCCAAATGCCTTACTATGTCTCAATGACAATGGCCCTTGAGAATACTGAAAAGCAACCACCAGTATGAATGAAACCGGTTAACCAGCAAACCAATTTTGTGCATGAACAGTCAGTAAAACTTGCTAAAGTAATGTTGAAATATCCACAATATCAATGGTGAACCTTCAGTCTCACATGAGACCTTTAGTTCTATATAGTCATATAGTTATATATATCGCCCAGTGGTTTAGAGGTTAAGCGCTGCTGCACGAGATTGATAGGTCATGGGTTCGAATTTCGCGAGGCGGGATAGTGAATATAATTGAAACCACTCTATATTTACACCAAACGTATAATGTGTGTAGTAAAGATTTTGTTTGACAGATGACTGATAATGTGTTTAGTTAAAATGCTTAAATAACATAAAAAGCATAATGTTAGACAAAAAACGTCATTTTAATATTGGCTGTATTCATGAAACTGACATTTAGTCAACGTTTACTCAACCCATAGTGTTACATATTAAGGAAGATTAAAATATGGGTAACTTCTGAGACGAATATTATACATATATTCTTATTGTATAACTATTCAGTAATCAACATATGCTCACTAGTGACTGGCTTCAAGAGGTATATCCTGGAGTTCTAGTGATTAACAGAGACCAGTAGAGTTCAGTCAGATCTGTTGTGAGATAGTAATTTACCGATGACAATGGTGGATGTGTCGTTCAATTTCGTGGATTGGGTGAACTTAGACATTCACACCATGGAATGCTGGTTGGCTCAGTGGTCAAATGGTTAAGCGCTCTCGCGCAAGACTGAAGGGCCCTGGGTCCGAATCTCGTGGAGGGCGGGATCATGGAGGCGCGTTATTCAGGAGTCCCATAGTAGGACAAAACGGCCGTCCAGTGTTTCCGGGTTTCCCATAGTAGTCTACCTTCAACTGACTCATGATTTCAACAACTGAAATTTTAAATCAACAAACTTTATACACTATTTGATTATCATTGATTCAACATTCGAGAATTCAGATTGATAACTGTTTCAAATACTTGCTATGGTAGTTTGTATAGTGTATTGTTCTAAGTATATACAGTATGAAGAGTCTTCTTGCAAAACATCTAGATCATAATTGTAATCTATCCTTATTCAAATTTCATTATAGAACTTGTCATTATTTAGAATTAGATAATTAGATGGTGATTGGAGGTAGTCGACAGGAAACCCTGGACCCGGGTTTCGTGCTGCTTGGCACTCGTCAGCAAGGTGTACCTGTAATCTTGAGAGATCTGGTGCTCCCTGGCGGATTTGATCTCGACTACCTCCCACCACCATCTAATTTTACAATAATGCACTCAATGTCGAGTCACCTAGACTGGTGGCCACATTGCAGCATGGTCGATAGCATTCGATCTGCACTAATAATAAGGACTAGACAAGCATGACATTGATCACCACCCAGTGATCAATCAACTGTTGAATTAGGTAATCCTATACCTGCATTTGACAAAATAATTGGTAACTGTTAAGATTTATTTATGAACTATTATCACATATATTCTTATTGTATAACTATTACGTAACTATATTATAAGTACATCCATACTGTAGTGAAAAAGAACACGAATGTGGATAATCGAATGTATTTGAGCGCGAAATTGCAGAACATCTTACTAAAATCAGAGAACTATACAGTAAATTCGTCATTTAAAAAATGTCCATTAATCATTTCAAACTTGAATGTTCCTTATGTAAATATCAGTCCATTGTCTCAGATTTCATTGTTCTTGCATTTTCATAACAATTACATCCCGTTCCCACCTCTTCCTTATCGATCTTCTACTGATATACATTCTATGCCTGATCACCGTTATATACTACTTATGTGGATATAAGTAGTTAGACATTAACACCATTGGATGCCGTCCGGCTCAGTGGTCTAGTTGGTTAAGCGCCTGGTGCGAGAACAATAGGTCCTGGGTTCGAATCTCACGGGTGGCGGGATTGTGGGTGCGCACTGCTGATGAGCCCCATACTAGGACGAAACGGCCGTCCAGTGCTTTCAGGTTTTCCATGGTGGTCTAGCTTCAATTGACTCATGATTTCAACCAGTGAAATTTTTAAAAATCTCTACAAAACCCATTCTGATAAGTAACTGACACCACAATTGATGATCTTACTACGTGATTATTGAAGGATCATAAGACATAACAGAAACTGTATATTTAGATGGAAACAGAAATTGAATTTTATTTAACAACGTTTCATTACGATTTGATTATAGTTAATTTGATGATTTCATTAAATTAAACCATAATTATCATCATAATACAGTTGATTTTATCCATCCAATAGTTGTTTGACACTTTGCCTAAAATACAAATATGAAAGACAAAATATCACATTCTACTTATAAAACATAGACAACTTTGATTAGTAAAGATGGATGGTGACTAGTACTGGAATCCTGGACGAGCGTCTCGTCTTATCTGAGACTCGTCAGTAGGATGTATCTACATCCTAGAGTTATTGTTCACTCCGAGACTTGAACCCCATACTGTTCGCTTCAAACGTCATCACGTTATCCATTTAGATATTGAGTCCTGATAGCTACTGGCTTGAGCAATTGTGTATATCTGTGTAATATAAGACAGTAATTTAAAATACATCATATGACTACAAATTTAGAATCATAGAACATTCGATAGGAACCCATAACTTACGCGGTTGTGTTTAAAAAACTACAATATACGAGAATTCATTTGAAAAATAAAGGGTTTTGAGATTCACTAAAATGATTGACTTGAAGATTATTCATTTAATAAAAAGACTATTCAGACAGAGCAGTCTACATATCTCGATGAATACCGGATTCTTCCGGAGAAGCAACATGACAAGAGAATAGGTTATTCCTGTCTCATTAACTTATTAGTGGCTCGTGAAAGCTGAAGCGCTCTTTTGAAGACCAAATTTCACCTATAGACATAGCTTACATTGACTTCGGTAAAGCTTTTAACAAAGTTTTTCACAATTGACTGTTATACAAGTTAAGAAATATAGGGGTTGGAATCAATCCATTAATGTGGATAAAAGATTTTCTAGTTGGGCATCAACAATGAGTGCTGGTGAACTCATAGTTGGCTAGCTGGAAAACTGTGCTTAGCGGAGTGCTTTAGGGTACAGTTTGGAGGCCAGTGTTATTCCTTTTGTATTTAGATGATCTTTTTCGTCTCCTAATATCATCGGTTTTGCTATATACTGACGGTGACAAGAAACGGATAGCGATTACTTGTAAAGGCAATAACTTAGAGATTTAAAATGACCTGGAGTAATTAACTGAACGGTCTCGAACTTGGCAGTTGCGGATAAATATTTCGAAGTGTATTGTAATGTATATTGGTCATCAAGGTACAGAAATATATTTGATGAATAACATTAAGTTATATGTTGTCTAGACACAGAATGACTTAGCAGTCATCGTTAACTAAGTCTTAGAAGCTACTTCACACTGTCGTGTGATAGCCGCCAAACGATTTGGAACACTATGGTCAATAGGCATGGCCTTTAGCCATGTCGATGCTGAAACCCTTTAGACTTTGTATACAGTATTTGTGATTCATAATCTCGAGTACCACATACAAGCAGCTACCCTTTAAATAATGTGTTACAATGATCTGTTGAACAAGTTTCAAAGAATCACAACTAGGCTGAATACCGGAAAAGCACGACTGGCTAAATTAAACCTAATTCTATTGTCACACAGAAAAATCAGAGGCAAATTGATCATGGTTTTTTAATTACTTAGTGATAAATTTGCATCTGATATGCCCAAAATTTTCTTATCTTCCAAAACAGAGAATTTACGAGGACATTTTGTAAAAGTTTATAAACTCAGAACAAATAACTTGTTCATTGACTATCAACTTTCCCATTGAAGCATTACCGAATAGGATCCATCACTTCAACACATGATTAAAGCTCTATCAGTTGACTCTTAGATCATCTATGAGATCATAATTGTTAGTATTAATACAAGCCACCTAACCTCAAGTCTTTTTCAAACTGAAACTTAATGTATACGTTGAATTGAAGATCTTCATCAATCGTATTAAAGGTCTTTTGTTAACGCAAAAAAGGAAGGTTATACAGCCTAAGGACAAATAACATTTCATGTGTTGGCGTTATAATTACTCACTAATTACATAATATTATGTCCCTGTAATCTCTGAATATTCATGCATAGTTCTGATGGCGTTTTAGTTTGGATTATTTTTTCTAGTTACCGTTTTTTGGCGAGTTAGTTTTCTGCAGAATGGGGCTGCTAACTACATACTCCATTCTCCTCCTTTATCCGGGCTAGAGACTGGTGCTAGTCCAAGAAGAGCTCTAGGGGGGGGATTGGCACTTTGTATAATATTACTGAAAAGCTAAAAAAACAAAGAGGAATTTGTTCAAACTTACTTAAGCAAGTTCAATGCACTCCTTTTTAATAATAGAAACATGAATGTGATAAACTGCTCATAGTGTTTGACAGCATAAGGGATCGAATTAAGTACTATCAAATTAACTATTCATAACTGTCTGGTCATTGTTTATTTGATTGTTTACAAATTCGCTCTGTTCATCAGCGTTGTATATCGATAAAACATCGTTCGAATATATCTAAATGAATTGTATTGAAGCAGTGACTTACTTTACAAACAAAGAAAAAGCCCTCGTGCGATACCAAAGGCCTAGGGTTTGAATCCTGCGAGCGAAATCGCGGTTGCTCACTGCTGAGGAGTCCCACAATAATAATTATGAGGATGTCAGCTCTTTGTTCATGAGTGTCATAAGAATATAATTGGTTGAATGGAAAATGTAGAAGTGTCAAAGATGTTCGAAAACACACATTAGATATATGAACTGAAAGGAATGTATTTCATTTTACTTACCTCAAACCACACAAAAATATGCTACACAATGATGAGGATTGTAAACTTTCACATATTACTTAGAATAGAAAAGAATGACTCATTATTTGGGAATAATAAACACTTTCGTTTCTAGTCCTGATGAAGTCCAAACACGTTTGCTGGACGAAGTGTCGAAATTGTTTAGATTTCAGTCGATGAGAATCTTTCAAATATAATTTCCATATATGTAATATCTAATCTATACTGGGTGCCTAATTTCTGTCAAGCTTTTAGTGGCCCAGGATCTGACACCAGTTATATCATATGAATGATCGCTATCGAAATATTCATGTCGCTAATCTTTGTATATAAGCATTGACTTAAACCGTGTTAGTGTATAACGGAATTAAGTAGGTCAAATATAAGAGTAAAGTTTTGAATACGTATATTTTGTACACTCATTGATTTGAGCAGACAATCAGAGAGATGTAGCGAAGAGGAGAGAACGAAATGAAACGGCGCGCTGTTGGGAAAACATATGAGCCAACTCGATTTAACTGAGCGTTACTTAATATCTGTAAACACACACACGTGCTCTCATAAAAAAAACAGTCATGGTTGATAAGTGAATAATTACCAAAGTCAAAGCGTGACTCAAGAAGAATGGATAAATTCGTCAGTAAGTCAGCTACAACGTAGGATAAGGCACATATGTGCATCGGTTCAAGTTGCCATAGCTCATTAGCACAACAAGATGAACACCGGATTCATAGAAGTAGTTAATTCAGTGGTGATAATATATATACCTCTAACAGCACTCAGTGGATAAATTGACCTGTCCGGAAGCTAGAATAAGTTATATGGGCTACTTAACATAGTAACCGACACTACAAACTATTCGTAGATGATGGTATTGTTTAATAGTTTTATACTTTCAAAGGATTCCAGATGAATTTCCGGCATATAGTGTTGAACTGTTTTCCCTCTTATATGTAAATAAAGACATAACCATGGAATATGTTGTTAGATTTGTGAAAAATATAAACTTTATTGACATTGTAACTTACCTCCATGATGAAGTTCTACAATGTATTGACGATAATCCATCGATGAAACTTTAATGAACATTTTTGCTTTAAAAAATCAAGTAATTAACAGATATATTTTTATTAGAAGGGGGGGTTAGTGCGGATTTTAGTTATTTGATAGTTGAATTCATGAGTCAATTGAAGTCAGATCTCCATGGAACACCTGAAAGCACTAGACAGCCGTTTTGTTCTAGTATGGGACTCCTCAGCAGCGGGTGACTAATATACCGCCTCGCGAGTTTCGAACCCAGAGCCTATCAGTCTCGGGTAGATGCATTCAATGTAGGCTGGAAACAGATTAGATAGAAGTTAGTGAAGATGAAAGCTCCATGACCAAACCATTCAGCTCAGAGTACAAAACTTCAAAATCATCCACCTGAGCCACAAATCTTTTCCACCATCTCAAAAAAACGAGAACAATACACTTACGAATTCGATGTTCCTATTTAAATAAACAAAGTATAGTTGAGATCAATTTAGATTTGGAATGTTCAAAATAATTCAATGAGAAAATTTTGAAATAAATTAGACGAGATTTAAGATAACAGATCTTGGATTTTGGCGCGAAGTCTGTTCATCCATTTAGTTAAACATCATTTTGGCGCTTTAGTTCAGTCAGTTCATGATGAACACCTTAAAACAAGTTCTTACCCCCAACCATCAACTCCGAATCATAATCCTTATACTTCACACACGTTTATAACTCTCATTTAGCTTGAAGGATCAGTGAAATGTCACTCAGCCCTAGACAAATCATTCGGCAGTTGTATCTCTGAAAATCAAACAGATCATCGATCCTCGTCAAGGTCAAAGACAACCAACGCGCATCAGTTAATCGTATACAATGGATTGACCAATGTTGTGGTGGTTACACCAATATATTTCCATAATAACGTCCTTTGTGTTACACGGTCTTCAAAGCAGCTATAGCACTTTGATATGTCGAAGGGGTATTCCACGCTAGATGTTAGCCACGAGATGTGAGTTCAAAGTTAGTTATTTAGTCATACTATTCCTGTCTAACTCGAGTAAGACTCCAATCATTCGACATAGATTATCTACCTTTGTAATCTACAAACTGTAGTAAGTAGTTACATCTTCTTAAGGCCACTTTAATGTTACTCAAACATCATCCATAAAGTATAGTCTAATCATGAATCATCTTTCACAGATCAAAGAACCAAGAAACAACCAAGCAATTCATAGACAAAGATTATATAATAACAATATTTAGTAACATTCAACATACCATTACAAAATAGAAATCCAGATTCGCATGATATTATGAATAGAAACGAGATTATAATCAATGCAAACATCATTTGATTATGCAATAGTGTAGAATACCATTTGTATTCTCTTTAAATATATGTGCCATTAGTATTAATCATAATAAATCCACGCATATTACATAATTCAATTGCGTTTTACTAACCTAATCAAAACTTTGAGGAGGTATCTAAAAATAGTAACTCTGTTTATGTCTAGGAAGGATACATGTATCCTCTGAATAGTTACTCACCTAATCGATATGTTCGTAGTTATTCTAAATCAAATACGAAAAAAGAAAGGAAAAAGAAAAGAAGAACGAATATGTCACATTGAATAAGTTTACATTCGTTTGGTGTTGTTTTACTTGTACCTACGCATTAATATTTAGGACTGCAATTGATCAGTCTCTTATTGGCATATATGGATCCTGTACGGATTGCTTCAATATAGTCTTAAGTCACAAGCTTATTAAGCAAAGATGGATAGTAGCTAGCAATGGAATCCAGGATGTACGTTTCTTTCTATTTGGGACTCGTCAATTGGAATCGAACCCAATACTGTCCGGTTCAAGCGCCATCGCGTTATCCGCTTAGCTACTATTTAGGACTACAATTGATCAGTCTCTGATTGGCATATGTGTACACCGTACGGATTGTCTTGATATAGTCTTAAGTCATAGACTTTTTAAGGAAAGATGGATGAAGGTACATTAAGCTGACGAGTCCTAGATGCGACGAAACGCACGTCCTGGATTCCATTGCCAGTCACTACCCATCTTCGCTTTAAAAAAAATTGAATAAGTTTGTTTCAAACAAGTGGAATAAGTAGTATATCGTGATTAATCAGATAATTAGTCATTGTATTATATTATGATCTTTCATTGAATGTTTATTTGTATGATCACTAACACGTATTAGAGATAAAGAATGAGACCATATACAACATTCGATTTATATGAATAATACATTTTTAGTGAGTAAGCTTTTCTGTAATAAATAATCAAATAGAATAGTTTCAAAGTTGTTCTATGATGGGAAACAGACTTGAAATGCCTATAAGTTATCCTTACGGGGTTCGAACTCATTTGTTACACATAGCAGAAGCTATAGGCATTCAAGCCAACAATCCAAGTCTTTGTGTTCATAAGAAATTTGCAACATCTTCACCTCTCCCTTGGCCTTAATAAATGATCTCATTTATCATTATATTGCATACACCTTGTACGTTTTCTATACTTCACCCCCCTCTCAGCTCTTTTTTCTTTGCACGAATATACACGAATTCACAGTCCAATTATCTGATCACTTCTTATGACGTAATCCGGTCGGACAATATTATTCTTATTTCAGTGTCTAATCATTGACCTACTTCCCACTATATAACATTGATCGATCCAAGCCTCTATGATTCTTATCACAACTAGTACACTTGTCATCACATTACCAGTTATTGTAATCTATTCCACTGTTATTATCATTGAATCATAAACTGCCTTTATTCGTTTAATAATTTCATATTATTATTGTATATTAGTGTAAGGTGTGATCAGGATCGTAGTATGGAAGTGCATATTGCATACATACTAAATAAACTTTGTCTATGACCACAAAGTACATGTGTGGATTTTCATTCTAATTTGCTTCTGGAGTATTGCATAACTCATCTCACTCTTGATGTTTATACAAGTGAATTTATGTATGATGTCGTTCTACTTAATCAGTGTAAAGCTAATGAAAACATCGTTTCATGGTAGACAAATTATGTCTCACAGTGAAATCTAGAGTGTGAGTTTCTTTCTATTATGAGATTGTCAGCTGAATGTAACTTCATCTCAGTATGGCTATTTGTATCGATTCGAACTCAGAACAATACACATCAAAACGTGTTTTCTATTTATCATTTATGATATATATCAATAATACGGATAATTTGTTGATTTATTCATTTGAACACATAAATATTGGTGCATAGGGGCACCGAATACATATGCGCCACACAAGTCCCTTGACTTGTATGTAGGCTGTGATTTTGCCAGGCAGCACAGACCGTAGTAAGTGGTTTTCTTAGAGGGCCACACTCAGATCCTTCGACCTACAGGTCTAACCCACATGGCCGTGGAGCAACGTCAGGAGATGTACTCGTATGATAGCCGGTAACCAACGGTTGGTTCATACATCATTTGTTCCATCAGGATCCTGGAGTCCATGGACATCATTTGTTTGGAATGAGTGTTTTCCAACTGCCCCAGTTGGACTCTCCGTGTCCACCAACCCGGTTAAAACGCCTGGAAACTTCTTGAGGCCAGTCACTAGTGAGCTTATGTTAAATAATATCAGAAGGCGTTTTGTGGTTAATATAGTAAATTAAATAGTTGAGATCATGAGTCATGTTTATTTACTGTCATCACTAAATTATCACAGTGGATTAAGCATTTATCATATCATTAGAACACTTGGTTCGAAGGAGAGTTCAAAACGTATTTCATTAATACACAGAATAACTAAATGCTTCTTGATTCTTATATTTTACCGTCATGTTAATTATCATTCATATCTATGATATTGGTGTAAAACTACCTACATAACTATCCTATAAACATATTTATCCAATCTGTGTTTTTCAAATCAACCATCATTAAATTCAATATCTTCAATACGAACATGAAGACAGTTCTATTGTAAGGATCTGAAACTTAGAGAAATATTTCGAAAGATGTTGCATGTGGAATTGGAAACAGAAATGAAAAGGATGAATAACAACTAGAATCAATTGGAAAGGATTTTCCAAGACAGTGTTAGATGATGAATGCTGATGAGTGGTCTATGCTCCTCTAATAGAAGTAGCATATGTAATTAAGTATAACCTTCAAACTTGTCACTACTTCACACGAAAAACCTTCAAAACTTATCTTTTTACCTAATAAATACCATGCATCAGCTACTTAATACTCGAATTCTATGTATGTTGCAGGATAGTTCTGAAACTCCTTACGTAAAAAGCATATTGATATAAAAAGAAAACCTCTACATGGTAATAATAGGGGGCGGCCTGCTTGAGCATCTGGGCTACCTGTTCCTGCCATCTAGATATTTCAACAAGTTATCTATTGTTGTTTGTTTTAATATATCATTATGTTTATTAATCGCATAACTTATTCTGCTGCGTTTCTGAAAAGTGTACAACCTTTCGTTGTCAAAGTTACAGAAAACTCAATAAGAGACAATATGGTTGCTGGCAATGTACAACGAAAAGAATGTACATTATTCAGTTGTTCATTCACTGAAGTGCTAACATCTAACTGGCGATTCCTCAATATTTATCGCCAGGACCGACCAAGAAGAAAGAAACGGAAACTTGTTGAAATACTTTGCGCTGAGAATTCTATATTGTACCAAAATTATAATATTGAATAAAGCTAATAATAATAATAATAATAATAATAATAATTTCATTCATCTGATTAACTTATATCATATCACTTTCAACTGAGAATAAATGCATATTGGTCATGGATACTGTATGGTTACTGAAATTGGTACGGCGAACAAACCTTTATCATATTAATATTAGATGGGTTTTTATGAATATTATAGTAATTTCAATGGTTAAGATTATGAGTGAGTTGAAGCTACAGCACCATGGAAAACCTGGAAGCACTGGACTGCCGTTTCGTCCTATTGTGGGACTCCTCAGCAGTGCGCATCCACGACCTGTCCCACTGTGAGATTCGAACCCAGGACCTACGGGTTTCACGCGCGAGCACTTAACTAGTGAACCACTGAGCCGGCATCATATTACTCTTATCCCAAATAATTCACCACTTATCTTATACTTTCATGGTTGTTTAAATGAAGTCACTTATAAACATATAACTAAGCAAAGAACAAATTTTATTGATAATTGAATGCAAAACTATTGACATTTGAAACGTTCTACAGTCTTCATTTATCCACTGAAAAAGTTGCTAAAAGTGTTCCTAAAATACAAAAATATGATGAAATGATTAATTATTCCTATTGTAAAGTAACGTGAATAATATGAGATTTATATAATAAGGATACAAATTTAGGCCTGAAATTGATCAGTCTCTTGTGGGCATATGTGAATTGTGTGCGGACTGCCTTGATAATGACTTATATCACAAGCTTTATAAGCAAAGATAGATAGTCGCTAGCGTTCCGTTCTATTTTGGGACTCGTCACCTGGATGTACCTGTATCCTAATATTAATGTTCACTCCGGGACTCCAAGCTAAGTGGATAACGAGATGGCGTTTTAAAGCGAATTTTTCTGAGTCAGAGTCTCGGAGTGAATGTCAATTCTGATATGTAGGTACATCCAGCTGACGAGGCGTAAATAGGACGAAACGCGCATCTTAAATTCTACTGCAAGCCACTATTTATCTTTGTTTACAGACTAGAATGATTTTTAATGAATTGATTCAAATGAATCTAGTTATTTAGACTAGACATTCAAAACTATTTTCTTCATCATATGAAACTAATGTTCAAAACACACAAGATTAATATACAACTATCGATTGCATATCTTACACATAGCATTACATGCAATATTCATTTTACAAAATGTCAGATATGTTATTCAAATATTATTCAGCTCAGATTCATAATAGGACGAAATGGTTGTCTAATACTTCCAGATTTTCAATGGTGGTTCACCTCAGAATGACTTATGAAGATTATGTAATACTTTAAAGTAGAATTATGAGATCTAATCGTAAATTACAGAATTATGAAGATTTAATTAGATCACATACCAAGCTGAAAGGAATGTGCTGCAATGAAAGAAACAATTTTTAAACATATATAATATCTTCAGAAGGGATTTGTGGAGATTTTAGAAATTTCGCTCATTGAAATCATGAGTCAATTGAAGCTAGACCACCATGTAAAACCTGGATGCACTGGACAGCAGTTTCGTCCTATTGTGGGACTCCTCAACAGTGCGCATCCACGACATGCCTCGCGTGATCGGAACCCGGGGCCTATCAGTCTCACGTCAGGCTCTTAACCAACTAGACCACTGAGCCGGCCAGCACTCCACGGTGTTAATGTCTAACTCCAACCA